TTCTTGTAAGCACACAATTTTATTATATCTTTGAGTAATTTCATTAACTGCTATATTAAGGACATATTTATAGTGCATTTTTATGTTTTGCAGGCATTATGGGTTGGCATCCTTCACCATGTCTGCAACATTCACACCTGGACTATGGGAAGTTGCAAACACGGGCACCTTGAATCATATCAAATGCGGGGAAAGATGTGGATCCAGAGAGACTCCCAGTGCCACAAAGCTTTAGTGGATATAGTTCTCGATAAGAGGTGGCAGAAAGATGTTCACAACTATCTGCGATTCAGGTAGTGTGGCTATACTTTTTCACACTGATGTATATTAGTAATATTTATGCTTACTGCTCATGTACACAGAAGTATGTATTTGTCTGTTCTATCAGATCGACTGCAGACCTAGAGTCATTCCAGAATCATATCCTGATGTATTCCAGCAAGCGCTATGCTTTCAGCCCCCCAGTTTATGAGGCATGAATTCTGCTTGCTGCTTTGGACTACAATTTCCACCGGAACCGACCAACAATGAAAACGTTGGACGGCAAAGAGATGTACGTTTTACACTTGTATAATATTCCCATTCATAGTACAATATTCAGCCCATGTTTTATATGCAATTGATTGTCTCTTGTTCTACTTACAAACTGATATTAAATGGTTGTAATTTGTGTAATTTCAGTTTCAAAAGATTGTAAAAGAAGAACGGTAGAAGATACATCGTATATGCCTTGAAATCTGAAAAAAACTACGGATACATTTCCGAGTTGCAAAGAAGGATTGTGAAGAACAGACTCACAAGTGAAGTGGGGATGCCTAGAAGGAGGAGCCTTCTCCCAGATGACCCCAGACAGCTTGGTTTGGTGCCCCCTGTACCTACACCAGCCACATCACTTGACTTGCCACATCACTTGTTGCAGAGACAAGTCTGAAGAGGTCTAGGTAAGTTACACAAATTTGTTGCCTATGTTGTACCATATTATATGTCACTGAATGATATTTACATTACAATATAGTCTGTAACTATGTTTGATGGCACTGTCTTCAACAGGACCGTTAATCCAACCAGCATCTGATGTGGAAGGATCCCCATAGGAGATCACCTTGCATGTGTCCTGGTACTTGTCAGGCAGGATCACGAGGGAAAGAATTTCAGTTCACTGACAAAGTCATAGCTTTTACATTAAATTCTGTTCCTACCCTCCTCCAGTGGTCATTTCATGTTTTTCCAATTTGTACACGTTTCATTTTATTCTGCTAAGTCCACTGTGTTATTATTTTCAGTAGGTAGCCTAAATTACAGTTTAAAATTTGAACAGTAATGATAAGTAAGGCTACAGCTGACCCCTATTATGTAAATATAAATTACTAAAATTGGTATTGGAAATGTTATGGCAAAGTTTGAAATTCTAAACACATGTTCAAATGTATGTAATGAAAATAAATAAATAATACATTTTTGATAATATAGAACTGCAATTGAACAACTATAACACTATATAATTATACAACATACATCAAATTTAAATAAAGAGGGGAGAAATATGAATAAATATTTATAGAAATGTAATAATAAATCAAATGTTAACTATGTACATTTGTTTGATGCCTTGATGATGCTGAGGCAGGTTTGTGAGTATTTGTGTGAAACTGTATGACCATGCCAGAGGGCCTGGAAGGAAATTCACAGTCCAGGAATAAAAGCCGTGTAGTGACCTTGAGGATCAGGGAACTTGTCTCTAATCCTCCAAACATAACAACTAGGGACGACAAGCTGGTTTCCCTGGCCTAAAGCTCCATGTTGCCAATAGATGAAGTGTCTATAGGCACCATAGCGGTACTCCCTGTTGTCATCCCCAGGCTCCCTGATGTTGCCTAATGCCGTAATGTCCTCCCGGTACTGCCTGTGAATGCGAATAAAGCCTTCTTCAAGGCAGTACTGGGAGAAGTGTGGCAGTAGGCTCACACAGTTCGCTTGCTCCTGGCCACAGCATTTCCCTACAGTTACCACAAGAAGATTAAGATTGTATCCATTCCAAATGAAATATACCGGTACTCATTATTAATATTAATATTTAATGCACTACTACTATTTATAATTACACTTCTGTTGATGCTGTAAATTACTTTACATGTCCACATTACCTTTATTTAGATTTAGATTTTATAATTTTTATATTTAATTGACATGCAAGCTTAGCAATTGTGACCAAGAATTTCCCCTTGGGTATCAATAAACAATCTGTGATTCTGATAAAATAAGGCTTTATAAGTTGCATGAAACATGGTACTGCATATTAGGGTTTGCAGGTTGGCCAGTGTTTGCTCAACTTGTATAATATGGCTTCATATAATCATTGTTGCCCAGTAAATGACATGTTACTACTATCTAACGTTACAGTACCAGTGGTACATGTGCACAGAGCTGCTATGTAAATAACGTTATCATTGTGTGCTGGGGTTTGTCATAAAGTTCAAACAGGTCAGAATATAATAACGTTACAACAACCTTATAAATACAAACCTCGGTAACAGCCCTCGGGTTCCTTTGGAGGGCTTCCACTCTTTCTTCGTGCTCTATTGAGACATCACTCCAGGTAGGTCCTCTGCCTCTCCTTGCCCTGACTGCACCTCCAACACCTCTGCCTCTCCTCCCTCTTCCTCTCCCTCTCTCTCTTACAGTTATCTCCGGTAAATGGACTTCTGCATTTAGATCACATTGACATGTGCTGGTTCTGTCTAACATTAGCTTCTTCGTCCTTCTTCTTCTTCTTCTTCTTCTTCTTCTTCTTCTTCCTTGTGCTTTTATTGTCAGTTGGCAAACAACGAATTGGTGCGTTACCGCCACCAACTGGTATGGAGTGTGTATCAAACCTTTATACATCTCTGATCATGGAGAGAAATACTTCTGTGAGTGATTAGTTGGACTTAGTGGGCGGGCCACAACACGTTGATTGACAGTTAAGGAAGAGGAAGGAAAAAGCAATACACATAGGTCTCTAAGGGAAAAGCAATGACAATAGGTCTCCTTGGGGAAAGGTAAAAGCAAATGTATGTATTTATTCTTTTATTCATTCTTTCTTTCTTTGATATATTTCTGCATTTATTTATTTATTCTTTTATTCATTCATTCTTTCTTTGATATATTTCTGCATTTATTTATTTATTCTTTTATTCATTCATTCTTTCTTGCATTTATTTCCCCATTTATTTATTTATTCTTTCATTCAGTTCTGTCACTTTGGATGTTCCACAGTGTCCGTGCTACCTTTGAGCATGCCCGAACACACAGCTAGGGGGTTTCATTTAATGAAAGTGACGACTTTTAAATCAGTCTCTCTCCCTTTACCCACTCACTTCATCTGAGAGGTAAACACAGCATGCATCTGTTTTTTCTGCATTTTTGTTTTCACTGCAGCTCTGCATCGCGGTGTGAAGCTCCGTCTTAGGCTACTTGAATAATAAACAGGGGGAGATTTTTATTTTATTTTCATGAGGTAAACCCCCTCCCCACTCAGTTTTTTAGACAAATCAAATTATACCTAAATAGTGATTAATATGCATTTAAAACTTACAACACAAATATGCAGATGTAACAGTAGCTAGCTTAAACACCAACTACAAAGTAAACACTCGGATGAGGTCTCCTGCTGCTAGAGCCAATCCCAGTTTACATTGGGCGAAAGGCGGGGTACACCCATAGACTGTAGGTACACCCTGGACAGGTCACCAGTCCATCGCAGATCATCTCAGTTATAAACTCTTTAAACAAACAAGTGCATAAACGTCTCTATCAATCATATAAAACCACAGTAACATAAGGAAATGTACTATCAACATGTGTAGGCTAATATGTTCATCGTGCTTTGTGAGTGATAATTACCTTAAACAAGGGGAAAAGTCATGGGAGAAGGATGAAAAAACACACGCAGCTCTCTCCTTCACTCGTCTCTATTGAATGAGGAAGAGAAGCGAAATCCCCCCAGGTAGAAGGTGACGTTCCCACGACCATGGGTAACGTTCCCTAAAAGTTCTCTAAAGGTGATGAACATTCCGAACCTTTACAGAACATTAGGGACGTTCTTGAAACGTCCTCTTTTGGTAATGAAAGTGCTGCAGGTCAACGTTCCTTTTACTACTAACTTAATCAGAACGTTCTCATATGGGTCTAAATTGGTCATATTATAACATTCCTCATATGACTTTAGGGGGACATTCCATATTAGTTATTTTATGGTCAAATAGCAACGTTACAAAGAGGATATAATCAGGACGTTCCCATATGGTTCTCTGTTGACCATATGAGAACGTTTTGTTCCTAACTTAATCAGAACGTTCTCATATGGGTCTAAGTTGGTCATATTATAACGTTCCTCATATGACTTTAGGGCGCAATGTTAACCGAATGTTCCAGTATGGTTCAGTGTATCTAATTGGTATAGTACAGTATACCCCTCCCCATACACCTGTATTATATTAAAAGGTTTACAAATGGATGAAAATATCCAGATATTGATCATGGAGTGGAATAGAAACAGTCATATACACTGATTCCATGGCATGACTTTTTTTTAAAGAAATTAAAGAAAAAACTGTCAATTAGCAAGGTAAAGCATATAATGTTAATGTGTCTGTAAATAATGGTAAATAGGCTATGTAACTGTTTTACAGTTTTATGATTGACTGCGACTTTCTTAACTTGCACACTTAACTTTTAAATGACTATATTCACTGTGTACTTTTAAAAGTATCAAAGTTACTATGCTAGAAAAACTCGTGAAACTAATTATTTTTCATATCAGCTTCACCAACACCTCAATATCTATTATGTTTATTTTAATTATTTCAGAGTAATTATAGACTGTATAAAAAAAGGTACAGAGTAGCTAACGAGAGAGAGAGAGAGAGAGAGAGAGAGAGAGAGAGAGATAAGTTAGCAGTTGCGCCCTGTCTGCGCGCCCAGCATCCATTGCGATTGTGTTACATTTTGAAATTGAAGCGCCATGATTTCTTGAGATAAGTTGTACAGAATTTCTTCCAGTATCAAGTAAAAGCTTTCTTGAAGGGTTCTTTGGGTTTGGAATAATGTTATGTTAATGTTTGCTGGGTCACGTTAGGTAAAACATTAACGGTCGACCGTGTCGCCAGTGAATGTTACATTTTTCAAACAGTTGTAACGCTGTCCTTTCTGCTGTTTTATGTTGCTCTTGCAAAAAAAGTGCTAGCTTGTAATTTAATGGTAACTTTAAGTTAACTTTAAACCCACGGAGGAAATGTTCTGTGGCAAGGCAGTTAAGACATACGGGGTTAACGATACCTGCTTCATTGTAAACCACGTTGTTTATTCAAGTGATTTTATTTATTTTTTTCACTGGAGAGAAAATGTATCTGACCTGCTACAGTTACTGTCGGGCTGCTGTTTAGTTACTGCTTTAAATGTGCAATAGCGTTACATAAACGCCAATGTCAAGATACCAAAGATCTAACCTTAACGTTAATAGCTCACCTTAAGGAGCATATTGTGGAATGACGTCGTCCAGTGAAAGGATGCTCACATATATTCAAGTTAACCGCCCAGATGTAACAGAAACACAGATATTTTGCTACAGACTGTACTAAGTTACAGGGATCTCAGCATCATCTGTTCCAGTTGAACCAGATGATGCTGAACCAGATAGCCCTCAAGTGTAAGTTGTGTACAAAGACAGGCAGAATTTCAGTGATCTTTTTCTCAGTTTCCGCTACCTGCCTTGAACATACAAAACACTGTTGATGAGAAAACTATACATGAGTTGGGTCAGACATACTTTGAGTAAATTGACTGCTAAAAAATTACATATTGTTATCAGATGAGGACGTCACCAAAGTTTGTGAGTCTGTCAGGAATTTGATCTGTTCTCCGCATGTCATACAGGCCCAATGAGGACAGCATACTTAAGAAACACAGTGGTGAGAAGCGAAGATATGCAGCAAAGGGCCCAAGCCAGAATCTAACTTTGGCTGCTGCAAAACCATTATGTGGTAAGTGTTATACTAGGTGGGTAGTCCAGCTGTCTATGTTGTGTGAATTTAGAGGATAAGAGGATCCTCCTGTCTTCTTTTAAATCCATGCTCTTTCTTTTAGTTCTTAAACATCTGCCAGTGGTTGCACATGACATGGACCTCATCAACCTCAAGGATAAATAGAGGTAAGGGATTGTACAGTTTGGTGTACAAAATAATAGAAGGCTTATCTCAGCCATTTAATGTTTTAATGTGCATATGAAGTAATGTCTAAATATTTTCTGGGAATTTATCAATAACCACAATTAGACAATATTTGGCATCCTTCAGAAATATGTTGTATGTAAATGTTGAGTATAGTACTAGCTCGTTCTCGCTCAGTGTGCATGCGTTAGCGGAGCTGGAGCTAGTTTGTGTGTGAACGCCGTGAATGGCAGCTGAGCAGAAAGCACCGTGTCCCAATAAGGCCTTAGTATAGCAGTATTGTACAGTGTAAGATGTTATATTGCTTGCCGCTATTTATTCACTCAACTTAAGTCATGCATTTTATCAGTGGCCATTTCATGTTTAACTCTAGCACACGTGTACTATATGCATGACGCATTGACTGAGCGGACAAGGTGTTTTTAATAGTGTTTTGCAAAGTGAGTGACATAGCCTACTCATTAAAGTCTGCTCACACATTGTTAAATCAACAATTAAGATATTATCGTAGACGATAAATATCGCACACTCCTAGCATGCAATTGTTGACGTTAAGCACTTTATTAATCTAGTCCTTGCATTATCTCGTGTGATTTCAACTTCTAATCAGTCTCAACCATCCAAGTCCCTTTCTTCAGTTGTTTTGAGTCCTTACAATATTTAATCACTGTTTAATAAATATATGTAATTTATCCTTACCTATTTTCTTAATTACAAGAATATACAGTAGATCATTTTATACCTTCTGGAGACTTGCCTCAAACAAACAGCTTACTGCCCTCTGACGTTGCTCCACTTAGCTACAACCTTCCTGAGTGTCCTGAGGTCCACAGGCTGTGGAGAGGCATAGCAGCTGTTTATACGAAATACCTTGGTTCTGTCTACTGCTGGATTTTTCAATAGATTTCAGCATTTATGTCAGGTATTCCTCTAGTCAGTATAGACTGCAGCATGCATAATCTAGTCTTTGTATACAATTGTATGAATTTTGTTTTGTTTAAACCTCTATTAATGTTTTCTTATCGTTTTTTTCTGGCTGCAGAGAGGATGACACCAGTCGACAGTGAACACCTGGTTGACAACTTGTAAGTCTTCAAGCAGAACACACCTGCTCAAAGTTCCAGTTTCCTAAACTTCGTACCATGTCTGTATGAGACTCTCCCACCTGTCTTCAATCATGTCAGGACCCAATGACTCCAACACCAGTCTTGTGAGGCTCATTAGAGGTAAGCCATGGTAAAATTAAGTGTAGAAAACGATCAGTAATTGCAAGCATATCTCAAACTTCCCTCATTTGATCTTCCTGAGGTCCACAGTCCAAGCCAACAGCTTCATACAAACCGGCACTCTGGAAGATTGTTTTGCAGATCATTTTTATGATTAGTATCTGGGTAACAGGTAGACAGAATGCGTTTCAGTACTAAGCTATAAAAAAAGTGAGCTACCCCAAAAGCCGTGGTATAGTTCGCACTGGGCGAGTTAAAAGGTGAAGCTCCCCGGCACTCAGTTAACACCCTGACTGTGAGGTTACAACTCACGGCCCAAAAAGGAGAACAAACGCATGTGTGCTTTTATCTAAAGCAACTTACAATTGCTATACATGTCAGAGGTCACCCGCCTTTGGAGCAACGAGGGGTTAAGTGTCTTGCCCAGGGACACAATGGTGGATGTCTTACAGTGGGAATCGAACCCAGGTCTCCCACACCAAAGCATCTTATCTATGCGCCATCATCCACCCCACCCAAAGTGCTTAAGTTGCTGTTACTGTTACCTTGTCTGTGGTCCGCTGGCAGAACACCGGCTGCTTTCTGATAAGTTGCTGTCGTGCTGTTACCGAGGCGACATAAGTTTCGTTTTACGGTGGACGGACTGTAACATTACAGAGTTGTGATTTTCTTTAGCTTGAAATAATCTCTCTCTTCTGCCACTTTGCAAACAGCGCCATCATAATCAAGTCGTGTAGCATAAGCGCGATGTGCCACAGTAATAAAACACTGTGCTCTATAGTTAAGTGGATTAAACGAAGCATCGATGCAAAGAATTTACGTTGATGCATTTTATTAATCAATTTTATCGATTTAATCGATGAATCCTTTCACTTTCAATTTATAAAAGTGACCTGCAAAACTATATTCCAGATTGCTGTTACCTTTCAATTTTGAAAGGTTTTGAAAAACACAAATACAGTTGCAGTTGCTTTCCAGGTGTATTAGAAGATATTCAGTTGCATTATAATGAGTTGGATGATGGTTTTAATAGTTTATTGCATTTTTTACCAGGCAAGGATGAAAATATCATGTTTTTCTTTATTGCATCTCCATGTAGTCTGTAATGGTCAAATAAATATGTTAATTTACAATGGATTTATATTCCTTACCTTCTGACCTTTCAAAGGAGACCAGAATTATGTATCTAGGCCAAATGGTTGAGGAGTTATTCCTGATTTTGCGTGTGTGTTTTTAGGCATTATCCCTGCAAATAGCTGGAGGTTTCCAACAGGTTAAGTTTCTCTGTGTAGGCATCATCCTCAACTACTGCATCAATCTAACTTTTGCTTTGTTTCTGTTTTTTTCTGCAGGGAGGATCATGCCAGTTCACCATCAACATATGATGGACAACATGTGAGTGGTGACAGTACACTTTGAAGTTCAAGTTTCCTGAACATCAAGTCTGTGTGAGACTCAGTCCCATGTTGAGCGCCCTGTTCATTCAAGTCTGGACGCAGTGACTCATCACTCTTGATCAACCTGGGTCAAGTGGCTAATTTCATATTTGGTGTGTATGGACACCTGTTTTTTCAAGATCTCATCACTGCTTTGTGAGTATACTGAACAAGTTGTTGGATCTGTTCAATCTGTTTTCCAAAAGGTTGTGTACATGCAAAAACAGTTTCTTAAAGTTTATTAATGATAGTCTGTACATTGGTTTGCAGTGGGCTTTATTTGTTATGTCCTTTGCATAATTTAAGTCTTTGTAAATTTAAGTGGTTGACTGTAAAATTCGTAGCCACCAACTTTATGGCCTGATGTATTGTATGTAGCTCATTTTTTGCAATGAAATTCTGGCAACCACTCCTGCTATTAATATACTGTAAAGTTGAACTTAATAAATGCCGTAATATATCATACAGAGTTGTTCTTTGTTTATAACTGAGGTAGACTGTAAACAGATTTATATTATAGCTAAGATGTTTGTTTATGCTATAGTTATTTACCGTTAACAAACATTAACTTAAACAGCTATCAACTGTGAAATTTACAGCCATGAAAAAAAAATTCTGGGAAGGTGATGCAAGAACCAAAAAATAACATTCTAGTTTGGTCCCTTAAAGGTTCCTTTAATATTACTAAAGGTTCCGATGTTAAATGTTATGTAAACATAATCGAAGGACCTAAATGGAACCAAGAATTACATTCTAGGTTGGTCTCTTAAAGGTTCTGTAAATGTTAGGGGAATGTATTGTAGTGGAGTCCTAGAGGGAACGTCCTATCTAATTGTCCCCTAAACATTCCCAGAACGTCCTAAATGTTCCCTGAAGGTCCTTCAAATAACATCCTCAAACCCTTTAAAGAACTCCACATCATGACTGCCTGGGAACGTTGCAGGAACATTAATAGCCAATGTTCCTGACACCAGTGGGACGTTCTGAGAATGTTTAATTTCCAAAAAGATATTGTCCTCGTAATGTTCCCAGAACATCCTGAATGTTCCCTGAAGGTCCTCCAAATAACGTCCCCAAACCCTTTAAAGAACTCCACATCGTGACTGTCTGGGAATGTTGTGGGAACATAACCAAGCGACGTTATTGACACCAGCAGGACGTTCTCAGAACGTTCTGGAAACATTGAATTTCTGAATTGAATATTGTCCTCTAAACATTCCCAGAACGTCCTGAATGTTCCCTGAAGCTCCTCCAAATAACGTCCCCAAACCCTTTAAAGAACTCCACATCGTGACTGTCTGGAAACGTTCTGGCAACGTTACCAGGCAGCGTCCTTGACACCAGCGGGGGCGTTCTCAGAATGTTCTGGGAACGTAAAATTTCTAGCTGGGCCCCAACCAGAGCCCTGAGGCATTACCACCACATCAATGCACAATTAACCCACACAGACAAGGATCAGTTTTATCTATCTGCACTCCACCCCTTAGTATTACTCGCTGTATCGATTTAAGTGACCAACTTATGCATTCTATTATAAACATTAGCTATTATAATTTAAATTAAATTAAATTACATGTCCCAAACCTGTAATAACTGTAATATGATCAACATAAAATTAGCTTTTCAAATTAAGTTTTTGATCACAAAATTAGTTATGAAATATACCGTCACATACTACTTCTCACACTGCCGTTGGCCATAGCATAATAAGTCTTGAATGATCACTGTATGTAATCACTGTGGGCACCTTGTCTTTTTCCTGTCTCTATGTCATTATTCATAACATTTTGCAGTCTAATACTAATAATGCTTTTAATCAGTTATTTCATTGTGGGCTTTTTGTAACACCAAATAAATATACACAGAAGCATTAAATTGCTGCATAAACTGCCACTGTCAAATACACTGGAATTTGACTTTCCCAAATGGCTCCTGATTATGCAGGATGACAATCGCCAAATCTGTCAACAAGTTACCTGTCATTATAACTTAACATTTAATCCCCTTGGTTCATTGGTAAAAAGTCAGCGTGAACATGAAGGGGACCAGAACTAAAATGGAACAATGTACAGTTTTTTCCCCCTGGTCTGGACCTGATGAACCGAACTGCAGGTGTGAATGCAGCTTGCAGCCTGTCTGCTTTAGGCTACTTCAGTTTCCCTCACTGTTTTTTCGTGACAATTTTTAAAAAGTACACTGTATAAGGGCTCACTAGAAGTCCTCCACCCTCTGCAGTGACCCATCAGCTCTGTGCCAGCACCTGTCACTTCGCAACTGTGTTAGACACAGTTTGTCTTCCATACAATGTTCCTTCTGGACGCGGGATGGTGGGTGTAGTATCTTTGCGCGCTTCGCTTATATAGAGCAACGAGATTTGTGGTTTTGCTCTTTTTTATGTGTCAAATTAACATGCAGTGATGAATAGTGAACGCGTACTGGAATAAAACACTTTAACATGTGCAGTGTTCAGTATTTTGGCAATGCACTTAGTTGGAGGACCAAAGGTGAACCGGCGGAGGGATACTGTACTCGAAGACTCAAAGTAGGCATAGCACGTCGGCGATGCTGGATTGAGGTTTCCGGGCAACTCTATTGCAACACCTGGATTAACGTAACCGTCTGCATTGATTTGCCGAAACATAGCCTTTAATCTAGTTTGATATAATTTAAGTACTTCATTAGGAGTGACTGTCTCATCAGTAAGGTGAATAACATAACCTTACATTTAGGCGTTTTATCATCTTCGCGGAGCTTGAAAAGTCTACGGGGCAATGGTGAGTAACCGCCTTGCTAACGTTTAACGTTAGTAATTTAGCACAGCTAAACTAACGTTAGTGTTAGCTAAGTAACGTTAATATCGGTTGCACTGCATTGCGACTGTCTCGAAATAACAGGCACCAAGTAAGGTTAATCCTTAATTTACTGCATTATACTGCATTTCCTCTGCTAATGTTAGTCATGAAATAACCCAACTTAAAACTGCAGACGAGCTAACTTTAGCTTTCTAATATTTTTACTAACATTAACGTTAGTTTAAAAACTGCAGGTTAATCCAGCTGCGGAGGGGTATAACGTTACATACAATAACATAACGTTGTCAGTTTATCACAGATTTTTTCTAATGTAACGTGTTCAGCAGTTGATGAACGAAAGCCATTGTCTGTATAAGTATGTGTCACTGCGCAGCACACACGTCGTGGTGCGAAAGGAAACAGGTAGTCTGTTTCCTGCTGCAACGTTATATCAGTAATTTAGCTGATTTGCGCAGGTGCTTGACGACGCTATAGATTAAAATCCATGGTCGGATCAAGCTTTGCAGCGTTTTTAAAGCTTGCTTTGAGTTGAGAGTGGGCGTGGTGGTGGTGAAGGGGGGTTGCAGTGTAAAAATAGACCGTCCAGGCTAACGTGATCTCGAAACCCATGTCGTTAATCTTGCAAGGCAGATATCAGAACTCTGGCTAACTGTCTTGCTAACTACGAATTTGACATCCCACGCAGCAAGTTGCTGCAACATAGGCAGTATCTCTTGCAGGCACATCAGCTGGGTTTTTGAATGTAGTGTAACTTAACATGCGCAACAAGCGAAAAAAAAGGTCACCAATTGCGATTACATAAGAATACAACTCACATGTAGAGGTATGCTGCTCACAGTTAGCAACACTTATTGGTCAAATGGCGTGGAGATTATGAAGGTTATGTTGCAACATTTTGCACTATGTGTTTTTGCAACACCATGACAGCATCTCCTCCGTTACGTATTGCGCCATAGCGTTGAACCGCATTCTGCTCCTGCTGAATGATCCTCTTTTCCACCCCTCCTTCTGCGCCTCCCTTCCCCCCGCATTGAACCAAACTGATGCTTGGTGCAGTAGTGCTGTCAGGACCCGCAGTGCACCCTCCAAAATGGTAACTAAGTATATCCAAAAGGCCCTATTGTGGCACTACAAATGAATCACTGCCTTTGTGTCATCCACTATTGTTCTCCTTATTGTGAAAGAACAGACACATGGTCTGATGATAGATTTTGTCCTCTGCCAAGTAAGTAAACTTGGATCATGCTACAATAACAGTCACATGCTGGCATAAACTGAATGTGTGTGTCTTTAGTGTATGATTACATCTGGAGCCCTTGTAGTTTTCTCTACTCCACATGAAAAAATGCGATATGATCTCTTATTTACTGATGAGTTGAAAAGCAGCAATAATGTTTCTTTGGGCACTTTTCACAGCAGCCAAACAAATCCTCTAACAACTGTGCTGTGATCCAGACACTGCTTGCACCACTGGAACTGGTTGGCGGTGGACAGGATGAATATTCTGCAGTCTGTCTTGCTCCCTTCTTTTTTATCCCCCACCCCCTCCAACCAACACGGTGACTCATTGAAATTGACTCGAAGAACACATGGCGTTAACACCACCTCGAGCTAAAAAAATGTTAGCTTTAATCTCTTTCGGTTTTTAAAAGGCAATGAATCATTAGAAACTCCTTTTTCCTTCATCTGTGGTGCAAAAGCATATGGATACAATGGAAAACAGATTTCTTTGTTTGTATCATAATTAGCTCTGTAGCTACTTGTGTTTATTAACTTGATTACTACTTTTGGTTGTACTCCTCGCTGTATGACGATGTCAAATTATCATCCTATTTTCATAATTTAGCTGACAGTACTGTTCAATTGTAGGCTTGTAGGTTTTATTGCATGCAGCATTCTTGTTATATCTGATCATGCCAGTTGTGTACAAGTCATCTGACAATATGAAGGACTACACACGGATACAAAGTAGCAAGCCCTGCCGAGCAACAGTTGACATATCTGTTAAAGATACAAAGAGGTGGTTAGTTGCGGTGATATTCTGTGTGCTACATTGGCGACCCTGTTCGTGTCTCACTAATTTTAGCAGGCGTGTGTATTTTAGGCTGCGGAGTATTTATACCCGTCCCTCATCACAGTTTCTCAGCCTGAAGTGGGCATGTTGACTGACTTAGACAGGCCTGGTAAGACCTCCATGAGAGTGGCAGAATGACGTCTTGGTGAAGTTGAAAAATGAATGCAAACTAGCTCATGCATTATTACATGTAAAAGTGGTAGAAACCTATCTAATAGCAGCACATTAACGTTGTGGGTTTGTGTAAAATAGTCATTGTGTGTTTTTCTTAATAAAAAATAAGTGTGTTGTTCCACTCCCTGCAAGCAATATGTGTGTCTAAATTTACTCTAGTAATGCAGCAAGTCTAATGAAGACTGGTGATGTTAAACTGTATTTTAGTTTTATTGATTTAAGGATAGCCAGGTCATAGGCAGTGTCTGGGTCCAGCTGTCAGACTGTCACAGTCTGTTTTGAATTAGTTTATTTAAAGAGCATTTACATTACATAGGTTGTTTGGACACAGCGGAGTCTGCTGCAGGTGCTCCTCATTAGGCCTACTCAAATCGTTCATCTCTATAATCATTGTGCTGAAGTCAAATCTACCCCAAATAAATGTCTGAGTATCAAACACTTGACAGTTAAACGTTTGTGGTTTGACACAGCTGCTGTGGTCAGTGTTGATGTGAGATTGCAACAGTGGATATTTTAATATCACATAGAAACTTGACAAATTACACCTGTAGCATTGTTCACATTGTTTGGAACACGTGGAGTTATTTATTTAGATATTTGCTTCTAATTATGACAGAACACCACCTTGAGAACAGAAGTATGAAAAGCCTCTTGACCAGGCTATGCTAGAACTCCGAACCTGAGATTGAAAAGCACCTGTTTTGTTTTTTCAAATATTCAGTACTTCACTTTTCCTTCAAGATCAACCATTGTGTGTTGAGTTAATGTCATAAAATATTTTTAAAAAGACACAAATAGGGATGCACCGAAATGAAAATTCTTGGCCGAAGCCAAAACCAAATATAATGAGAAAAATTCCCGATAACTGAACAAGCACATTCACATTTTTTTCCTTTTTATTTTGCCTCTTCTTTGCCATTGCATAAATTGAATAGTCAAAATGCGCTTTTTACTCGGTAACCCAACGAAGGTTAAAATCAAGGGCAACTGGACTTGGTTGAAGATACTGGAAGACGTTTCGTCCCTCATCCAAAGGACTTCTTCAGTTCTGACTGACTGGCAGGGAAACTCAGCTATTTAACCTCAGTGGGGTCGTTGGCCCGGGTCATCGATACCGCTGGTTCGTTAGTGTTCCTTGTTGCTGTGACGACAGTCGTTACAGTCGTTAAGACTACCTGTGGCCAAGACTGAACGACCATCGTTGGTATCTTCACCTGAGGCCAATAGGTTACGTTTGTTGAAGAAGTCCTTTGGATGAGGGACGAAACGTCTTCCAGTATCTTCACCAAGTCCAGTTGCCCTTGATTTTAACCTTTGTTGGATAACTATGACCTGGATGACTGAGAATCTTCATAGACATCTTTTTACTCTGTGTTTCCCACAGAATTTGGAGAGACTTTGGTGGGCGGGTCTGAGGCCCAAGAGGGTCTGGTAAAGTTAATTACATGTGTCCATTTACTTTTAATTTACACATGTAGTGTTTTATACTTTCTGCGCAAATATGCGCTGCGCTGCTTGAAGAACGATTTTAAAAATGGGTCTCCAAATTTACTTGGGCGGCTGTTAATCTATGGGCCCTATGGGCCTTTCTCATTTCCCAAATTTCCACCTCGCGAGCTGAGGGATACTATAATGTAACGTGAGAACACGACAGACTGCTGATTGGTGAGAGAGAATATTCACTATTCACTGCATCATCATTGCTGCACCAGACAGTTTTATATTTTACAGTTTTCGTGTGGAATTTCATCACTTAATCCACTTCTGAGAAGTTTTGAGGTGAGAAATCAGCTGTGTAGATTTCGAATATTGACAGTTTTACGAGAAGTGATCGATGAACAAAAATATACTTGAATATTTTCGGAGTTGAGGAGCAAGTGGCTGCGGGGGAAGCCTGCGCCAACCCGCGGGAGGAGCGTGTGAGGCCGGCCAGCCGCCCGCTCACAGAGCCCTCTGCTCCCGCCGTCACACAGACCGCTGCAGCAACAACGGCAGAGCAAAACACAGCTGGAAGGTTTTCATACCGCTTATCTGTCTTTACATTCTGAGTAATGTTGAAACGTTTTAACTTAAAAAAGAGAAAGCTGTGTGGATCACTGGTGTGTGTGTCGCAGTTGTGTTTGGCGTTGCGGCAGTTGTGTGTGGCGTCGCTATGACGACAAGCTACGTACTATCTGTGCGTACTGTCTGCAATGGAAAACGGAGCAGGGCCGAGTAGAGTCGAGTCTATCGATTTGCGCTAAGGTAGCATTTTTCAGAAAGGCAGCATAGATCGTCAGAACACCGGCAACAGTTCAGCGTTTAGTACTGATGGTAAGATGTGGAACAATGATGTTGTGTGGTTGTACCTGGGAACTGCGCATGTGCAACTCCCAACAAAGATTTTGTACAAGTAAGATGCATCACTCTGTAACGTTAGCTCAAGAGCGGAGGCCTATACGCATAAATCATCCACCTGCCCCCCACCAACTAATTATTTTATCAGATTTAGAGACCAGCATCTGCATGGACGTTTTACTGACACCTCCACCAGTCACTGTAGCTTTCCAGGCGATTTCTTTCTTGTGTGTTATATTGATGTATGAGTGTTTTCTTTAATGATTTACTTTGATGATTAGAACGGCTGCTGTCAGTCATTTAAACGTTTCCATCCGTGCAGTAAAGTCACAGCAAATATCGCGGGACAAAACAAAAAAAAACTGCAGTAATAAACTTGACAGGACAGACAGAGGAAACAGAATTAAACTTTCAGCTTCTATAATCCACGTTTAGACTCTGATGGAGCTCAGGACTGATCAGGAGGACAGCTGCTTTACTCCACAAACCTTTACTGTATGAAACTGGACTCTGTGTGAGACCTTTTGGATGTGTAGAAGAACACAGAACATGAATTAACACCAGATCCAGACCGATCCTGTCGGTGTGTCGGGAGATTTTTTATTATTAATTTATGTTGCTGTGGCACTGGGGAGACGCTTCATCCAGCCGCTATTTACTGTTCATTTTCACAATCCTGCATGACATTCAACAATAACAACATCAGTGATATCAAAGTGAAATGACATTAAGGAATGTGGTTAGAACAGCGCTTTATGAGGCGCTACACAAACGGTGAAGGGCAGAAAGTTTGATCGCGCATTTGATTCTTTTTAATAGGCATAACTGATACAACTTATGAATTCAACAGGAACACTGCAGCATCCTGCTCTGGCCATGGGTTGGTCCAGCTGCTTGTCACGCCTCTTGTAAACATCACAGCGGCTGAAAAGACTTCCGCAAAGGATACACCGATGTATCCTCGTTTATAGCTCCTCCAGCAAGCCTCCTCGATCCTCGCTCCTCTATGTGCATTTTAAGAATTGAGATGTCCTTCAAGATGGCGTGCTGAGATCGATTTCCGGGTCACACGCTTGAGGATCGAGGAGTCGAGGAGACAGAAATTTGGGAAATGAGAAAGTCCCTATGTTTGGGAAACACTGCACTGTATTATTGTGTATATAAAAGCATTGGTTGCCTACTGACCAATCATTTCTCTTGGAACATGTCGTCACCATCTGTAGAAGATCCCACAGACTGTTTTATAGGCTGCTGTGTGTGATGTGTATTGTAGTTTAGTTAATTTAGAAGAATGTTTGGAACATTTTTGACTGCGTTAAATAATGAATCTGATTTTTGAAATAACGAAAAGTTCCTGAAAGGGAGTTGAACGACCACTTATTCAGTACCTGCAGCTTTTAATGTCGAAATGCCAACACCCAGCCATTGCAGCTGAAAGAAAAAGGCTAAAATGGTCATTGAGAATACATCTGAGCAGCACATTCACATTCATTTAGTGGAATACATAAATGTAATTATAGTCAGATCTACTTGCAGCTGTGTTCCTTTTAGTCTGGATTATGTGTTTAACTTCTTCATAATTGTCTAATATTATAGTTTGCTCTTTGTTTGTAAAATATGCTGCTTGGCTGCCAGAAGACTTGTCCATGTTTGCGAGTAGTCATCTGCTGCAAACACTGCCCCTTTTTGTGAATGTGGTCGTGGCTGGATTGGGAAACCCTGGGTTAACTTACCCAATTGATAAGCAGCATAGTGTGATCGCGGTTGTTATATCAGCCATATCAGTGAAGATATTTGGCATTTGTAGATAGAATTAGAACATTTGACTGTTTTTTAAGCTGATGATACACAGAGCAAATTTTAGAGCAATCGTGCAGAGCAACATTGGCGTCAATGGTAATGAGTAAAGATTACTACCGTAATCCCTTCCTCGACCACTCCGCCACCTGCCCCGCACCGCTGCTATCCGTTCAAAACATAGTCGGACTTGCCACTAGCAAGATTGCCCAGTAACATTGCTCAAAAAGTTGCCCCGTGTATCATCAGCTTTAGTCTGTCCATTAATACATTCTATGATAAAATAAATAATTCTAATTAACACAGCTGCCCAAAAGTTTATTTTTGTCTTATTGTGTCTTATTCTTTTGTTAACAGGCTGATCAGCTGACTGAAGAGCAGATTGCTGGTGAGTGCACACCCTTACACCCTTACGTGTTTGGTTTGTTTTAGGTTTAGCACCTCCATAATTCTCCACCAAAGCAACTAAAGCCTAGTTCGCACCACACAATTTCAAGCCTGATTTGCCAGTCGGCGAGCTCGCCGACCATTGTGCTGTGATCGGGGGTAAGTCAGCGATCGATTGGCATTCACCAGTTGTCATGTGTGAACTACTCAACTACGCATCAAAATGGCTCCCCAATGCATCGCTGACACATCAACAACGCCAGACGGATATCTAGCATGCTAAATATCAGGAGCAGAGTTGGCCGACTCAACATCCACATCCAAACACTTTTTCTTCACCTCCAGCTCTCTGCAGCATTGATGATCCCTGCTACCTGCGTGTGCTAATCCATTCTTTCACCCATATTCTTTCTTTATAATTGATATCTTTATAATATTAAAGAGGTGGTATTATGCTCATTTTCAGGTTCAAAATCCTATATAGAGGTTGAATCAGATCATGGTTTAATTTTCAAAAAACACATTTTTTGTCATGCTTTGCTGTAGCTCCTCTTTTCACCCTGTGTGTTGAAGGCTTCGTTTTAGCTATGGAGTGATACATCTTGTCTCTAAATGATCTTTGTTGGGAGTTGCACATGCGCAGTTCCTAGTGAAGGACTACTAGCCAATCAGAAGCAGAGAAGGGCAGGTCAGCGAAAGGCCGGTAAACATACATGCCGACCAGGTTGGCAACATGGACTGGAGCAAGAGTTTCAGATTGGTGAGTTATTAATCTGTAACAAAAGTATCTTTCATCCATAAAGTTTTAACTGACCTCTGTCTCTACATCACAGTAACAACTTCATATCCATTGACTGCTTGGAGGGTAGCTAGTGTTTGGAAGGGAGAGGGGAGGTTTGCTGCAGCTCAGTGTTTTTCCACCGGTGTTTTTGTGGGCGTGTCAGACTAGTCGCTCAGCGAGCATTATGACACATTTTTTTCATTGTGACATCACAAGAAAGGGAAGTAAAGGCTGGACTACAAACGAGCCGTTTTCAGGCAGTTCAGAGTAGTGTTTTCTGTGGGAGATGGGAACTCCCTTTGGGGTGGACTTTGGGCTTTTTCACTTTGCAAACCTATTACAGGCACAAAAAAGATATTTAACTCAATAAAGGAGAGGGAAAAAGCCAAAAACCATAATCCCACCTCTTTAAACAACTCTTTCATGTGTAGTTTCGCGTTATTCCCCGTGTCACTTTCCACATGTGTTTTCTAGACAAAATGTGGTTTGGAGACCAGCAGTCGGGTGACAGATTCGTCAGCTTGTGTAGTGTGTGACCCCTTGTCGCCGGTCAGTCGATGAAGTGTGAACCCCACAACGACTTCAAAACTCGCGTCACAAGACAGCACATTGTGAAGTCTGAACAGCCCGACGATCTGCCAGTGCTGAAAGTCGTGTAGTCTGCACGAGCCTTAATGTGTCTAAAAGATTAAAGGAATCAGAGGTGTGTGAGGATATGAGCTGGTGGTTTGGGTCTAGTCCTGGTCATGGCCCTGATTATGGTCTTATCCTACAAACTAGTTAATTGCATGGTGTTACGGCTGCCGCTGGCTGCCATTTAGTGTATTTATTCTGTTGTTCCTGTTAGAGATTCTGCTGTTTATGCAAACCCAGTTATGTGAATCCCTGTCGAGCATTGGTCCCTCCAGAGATGAGACCGCCTACTTCCTGGTTGCTGTTCGTTGGCGTCGGTGATTGGTGTGGCTATAGTCGGACTGAACCTACCAATCGGAAGTCTCCAATCAACCCCAGCTGCACCTTAATTAGCTTGTGTGTCCACAGTGGAGTGCGGCTGTGAAGCAGTGATCAGTAGGACTCGCTGTTGGGTTGCATGTCATCGTGTTTGTATTCCATAGTGTTGCCTGTCAGAGTGGTTTCAGTCAGTGCAGAGAGATTTTTGTAATTGACATTGTTTTGTTGTAGTGTAGCAAGTGTTCATGTTTGCAGACTACCTGCTAGTTTGTTTTCCTTATCTGTATTTTGTAGGCTTATGGGTGCTGACCCCTTTCTGTTATTTTGTCCTCTAGTATTACAAATGTATTTTGAGCCAAGAGCTAATTGTCTTTGGGATAAGAACCTATTTTGTTTTATTTGTTTACCGGTTGTTTGGCAGCACCTGTACAGCTCTTCTTTTGTTGTATTTCTTCTGCAAGCGCTCCCACGGTTAATTAAACACGTTAACATTAACCAGTACCATCCCAGTCAGGGCTTGACAGTAACAGTGGCCCGACATTACTTTTTACTGGCCCCAGGACATCCGGCCACTGTTATTGTCGAGCCCTGACTGGGATGGTTGCTACCATGGCAACCTGTCAATCAGGATAGAAGCGAGAGAACATTATTAGTTTAGTTTTTTTTATATCCAGGATGTATTTAACTAACTGATTAAACATGTTAACAATATAACATAACTTAAGTTTTGTTGTAACACTGATAAATAACTTTTGGAAGGAGGGCCAGTAAAAATTGTCTTTGGGCCAGTAAGTTTCAAACCAACTGGCCCGGTTTAACGTTGAGCCCTGCCAGTTATTGTTTTCCACCTCATTTTCAATCCCAATCACATGTTACTACCCTCCATAATGAGCCTGATCGTAACACATTGGGTGCATCTCAAGTCTCTTATTTGTCGTTTTCTCGATCCTCAATCCTCACTTGAACCGGAAGTTTTTCCGCTCCGCCATCTTGCATACCATCCCAAAGCTCTTATTTGCGCTCCGAGGATCAAGGATGAAGGATCGAGGATTGAGGAGCGATCTCTGAGGAGCTATGAGCAAGGATATACCAGTGCATTCTTCATGGAAGTCTTTTTCTGACCGACACGCCCCCTTATTGGGTAGCCGTTATGTTGATTGGACGCTGCAGCTGATTGGACTGATCTGATACATCAGGACAGATAACACTAAACTGTAAAGTGTATCACTGCAAAGTCTTATATTTGATTTGTTTTATGATGTACTGACTTGTTAAAATCTGTGTTCATTGTAGGTCTGAAAAACAAAAGCCCCACATACAATTATCTTTTATTTGAAAGATTTTACTGATCTGTTATTCCTCCCATCAATTTTTATTAAGGCAACACTTAAAGTCAGAGAGAGTCGGAGAGTCTGTCAGCAAGAAACACGTTTTACATAATTTATCGTCATTTCTATTCAGTCACATGTGAGGCTGGTCATCCCTGTGTTTAGTCAAAATAGACGACAGATGATGAAACCTGATGAAACCAACTGGCGGCTCCGCGAGCAAAATCAGCTGAAAGAATTAATGAAAGCGGTGCTGCGCTAAAAAATCGTTGGATTGATATGATGGAACGCAGTGATGTATGCAAATAAAATGTATGCAATAGTGTTAAAGGATATCAGAAGAGGAAATAAACAGAAAGCCTAAAACTGAGTGTCAACTTTGAGTTACATCATTTCAATTTCCCTTAAACATTTAGCCTGATAAATCCCAAAACACCATGATCATATTCTGGGTTATTCAATAACGAATTTACAGTCAGAGTCAATAAATAGAAATGCAGATAATATAGGCATTGTGCCAGTAGAAATGATCCTGTGCCTCTGAGCAGGACATACAGTAACCTATAATTATTCATGTGCAGGCGTTTGTTAAACAGTTAACAGCTACAGAGATTATCATGCTGCTCTGCACTGACAACTGTGAGACGTTATTAATACCAACACAGTGCATGTGTGCAGACACAAACTCAATCAGAAGTATCAGCTGTCATCAGAAATGGACATCGCTTCACGTGACGCTTCGGAGGAAAGGATGTCTCATGTCTCCAGAAACATATTTACTTCTCTCCTGGCTTGGTTTTCTTGCATCTTAGTCCCTCCCACCAGGGATGCATGGGGAGACGCAAGTGAGGGAAACGTGGATGCAATTAAGAGACTTGAGAAGCACCCATTGACACGGCTTGAGCCTTCTCCTTGAGCAGAATCCTCAATTTGAATAAAATGATTCATTGGATTAAATCAGTCTTCTTTTTTTTTTATTAAATCAACTTTCTTTAATGAATATAACTCATCAGTTTCATCTGCATCAATACACGTAGGCAGCAGGCTAATCCCAAAAGCACAGTCCAGTGCATTAGTTTGGTGTGACCGACACTCACTTGTTTTGCACTCACTCGTGCAAAGGACGGGGCTGCAAACAGTTTTTTTGACTGCAGTGAAAATGTTGTTTTTAAAAGGCTAAAATGTAAACTCCAGCGAATATCGATTTGAAGCAGAATCTGTTGTTGGATAAAAACCTGTTGTGAATATGGTTACATCTATCTTTTTTTTTCCAGTAAAGTTTGACTTTTTGACTTTACAACACTCTGTTGTTGTTGCAAATGTTTGGATCACACAAGTCGGAAAAAATCTTACGCAGTCACCACTGGGATCTGATTCTAAAATTTTAATACTACTACTAATAGTGTAGCCTAATGTTTTATCTGTGATTCTGCAGAAACACAAGAGTTAAACAGAATAGACATGACACAAAAAAGCTGCGCAACATTTAAGTGCTGGTTTATAATTTTAACGTTATGAGTGAAGCTTCGAACTATTTGGTACAGCCCTAGATGCTCCCGTGCTTTTATTTGCATAGATGAGCTGTCATCAGTCCAGCGTCCCAAGTGTTTTGTTTCACGTGATTGCTTGTCGCATACTAACATTGTTTTTTTTTCTGTAAAATGACAGAGTTCAAGGAGGCGTTCTCACTGTTTGACAAGGATGGTGATGGCACAATCACTACCAAGGAGCTCGGCACGGTGATGCGCTCTCTGGGTCAGAACCCCACTGAGGCTGAGCTGCAGGACATGATCAACGAGGTGGATGCTGATGGTGAGGAAGAAAAGCAATCCACAAGAAAATTATCCTTTTTAACCTAAAATCGCTACTATTTTAAGGCTCATCTATTATGTCAAATATTCTTCTTGCCATAAAGAATATCCTGGAAAGGTTCACCAGCATATGCAGTATGGAGATATTTATTGTACCAGAACAAGCACTTGGCTTTAAATTACCACCATGACATTTTTATCTTCCTTTAAACTTGTCAGTTCTCTTTGAGAGACAAACTATGTTATATGTACTTCATGTTAATGCTGTGTACTTAAAATGTGTGTATGTACAGTATATGTTATCAGCAGTACAGATTAATCGTTTGGGCTCAACTCTTAATCAAATACAATCTGTATGTGTAGCCACATGTTTTGGTCGTTAAGAAAAAAGGTGGGGTATTTCCTATTTACATTTTATGGAATGAAAATTTTTATCCTTTTGGATTTATATGCTCAGTTTTTCGAGTGAAATTACATTAAGAGCAAAGTAACACACTTCTTTCTGTTTGTATGTCTGTGTAGGTAATGGTACAATTGACTTTCCTGAGTTCCTGACCATGATGGCCAGAAAGATGAAAGATACAGACAGTGAGGAGGAGATCAGAGAAGCCTTCCGAGTCTTCGACAAGGTACATTAGGACTGAGTATGCTGAGAATATCTACTAGCAACACTCAAAGTGAGCATCTCTTTTTGCCAGAGATCATTTTGCACATCCATTGTATCCTTGTGATGGATAAATGTAACTGACTTTACAGGTAAAGAGATACCTGGCACTGAGAAAACCAAGTAAAACTAACCTAGCTGTCCTAGGACATCATAGTAGAAACACACAAACTAACTTCAGCGATATTTCACTTTCAGTTTTTATGTAAAATGGTAAATAAATGTAATAATAATAGTTTTTTTGTTGCCATCTGCAGGATGGTAACGGCTACATCAGTGCAGCAGAGTTACGGCACGTCATGACCAACTTAGGGGAGAAGCTCACTGATGAGGAGGTGGACGAAATGATCCGCGAGGCTGACATTGACGGCGATGGTCAGGTCAACTATGAGGGTAAGAAGTTCTTTTAGTTTGAATTCTTCCTTTTGTCTGTCTGTCTGTCTTTGAACAAGGAACACATTTCTTGTTACATTACTGACAGAAACCAGGGACAATGTCAGTGTATGATAGGCTTCCACATCATTTTAACATTTTCTTGTAGCGAAATAATTAACAACTGCAGAAATTGCATTGTTGTGTTTCTTTTTACAGAGTTTGTCCAGATGATGACTGCCAAGTGAAGAGAACACTGGAATTTTTCTCAACGTTGCTTGTCCTTCTAAGATTATTGTCTTTAAGAACCAAAAAAAGGAACAATTATCAAATGATCAATAGACACATTTCTCCCCCGACCCCAAAATCACATATTTGTAGAATTTGCAATTTGTGCTTCAGTGCATCCAACTACTTCTAAGGTATCTGTTTAGCAAACACCAACAGAATAATCCCTAGAGAAGTTAATGGACCAAGCTTTAAGAGGGCCAAAGCCCTGTACTTCAGACCAAGATTCTGCTGAGTCACCCAGCTCCTGATTAATTTAGAGGAAAGAGCAACACTGAAAAGGCAGAGGGATAGGAAGCCATGCTGCAGTTCGTATAGAGAAGTTTGCTATTTCATTCTTTCCAATATTCAACAAAGAAAAACTGCACCAGTGGTGATTCTCTAAATACTGAATTGAGTACTCTTCTTGCATGCTCCCTTTCTGTGGCGGTTTCTTGTCACAACAAGGAGGCTCTGATCCCATCACTGGTAGTGGTCAGATTGTGTACACACTGGAGTTATATACATTACTATATAGCTATATATCTGTAAAATTTGTGTCACTATTGATTATTGCAAGAGCAAATAGTTGCAACGTAGGGTGTTCATTGGTGCTCGTTTGGAGATGAGCATTCTTATACCTTGATGAGTTCAGTCAAGAACTAGAGACTGAAAAGCACTGATGTTTTTTCCCCCTTGGGGGATGTTAAATTGTCTTGGTGTGAGTGGTGGGCTTTACTTTGCCTGCAGAACTGATCAGAGACAGTAATGTTGTATTGCTTCAGGATGATTATTGAGAAAAGAAACTTGAGGACTGCAGTTAATATATTGCAAACATATCCTGATCATACAATATTGATGTGATGCTTTATAAATGTGTTCTCAAATATTAATGTATTGATGACAAACTTTGGTCACCAAATATATCTATATATATATTAGTGTGTCGTAAAGTTTGCATTTCCTATTGTTGTAGTAAATGACCTGTGACATGTTTTCTCTTCGGTTTTGAAATGTGCCATAATACTCTAAAACGCCTCAACCTTCTTGCAAGACTCGTAGTTCATTAGAATCTAATAAATCTACTTAATATAATAACAAAAAAATACATGCAGTTGAACATATTTGCACTTTGGTATAAACCTTGTGGATATTAAAAAAGGTTTTGTTCTAAAAGAAGAAAAAGAAACCAAATGTCACTGTTGCTGCTGCTATAACAACTCATATGTTACACTCATTTCTCGTCCTTGTTGGTGTCTGATCTTCGATTTGTAGTCCGGTGATTCAAACTTCAATCTGCTTGCTGTTTTACTGAACAGAATACATATACTGTATATTCACAAACATTACTTGTGATGGGGATGATGTGTTTTATTTGGGGTATTAGAATTGGACTTTCAGATAGGGATGAAATGGGAATGTAGCAAAGAATTAAGCTTTAGATGTCAGATCGGTTTCAGTGTTAGATTTTTTGAACGGTTGGCTAAATCTAAGAACCAAGTTAGCTGAGGTATCTTATGAATTCTTCAAAGCACGGAACTTAAATACTGGCATTTTAATTGGTTAACTTAGATTCAGGTGTTGGGAAATAAATGATAAATGGATTGTTAACTTCTGATGGTATCTCAAATGTAAAGATGTGATATATTTTCCATAAATCAATAAATTGACTGAGCTTTACTTCACCTGCATTTCATTGTCATGTGTAATCTTAACATGAATCTCTATTTTACATTGACACTCATCCTGTTTCTATTGATTTAAAGCCTACGACATTTACAAATGCCACACTTATGACTAAATGTCACTATATCCTTTGCCTTCCAGTGTACCTGTGCGAGAAAGGAGCACTAATCCTAGACCATCTTAGATTGGGCAGGTCACTCTAGGCCTTCAGTGGAGAAAGTATGCCAGGGGTGGGCTATATTTAGTGGCTCATGAGATTGCTACAGGAGCCTGTGGTAATCCAGGTCAGCTGTGGTCATGACCCCTCACCCACACACACTAAATGCAAACAAGGAACCTCTCGCCTTCTTGCTGACAGGTATGATCAAGAGCCAATGAGATGGGCTCTTATCTGGAGCAGGTGGATGCAATTGGATGTGTGTCCACATGCTAATCGTGTAGTTAAGCAGATAAATGAATTAGGAAACAGGAGGCCATTCAGCAGGACAATAAGAACTGCAGCATGACAGGCAGGTGTGCTTATCTCTCTGTGGTTGTGTAAAAGCAGGCTGGAGAAGCTCACTCGTGTCGCTCCCACTGTGTCGTGCAGGAGTATAATTCTCACACACTGGCTCCATCAGCTGCACTTTGAATATAAATCCCACATGTAGGGAGTGTCCAGTATTGACAAATATTGGGGCATAAATGGAGTAATTTGGACATCCGATGTATTTTACAGAAAGCTACAAATCTACAGCATTATCACCAGTGGTGGAAAGAAACCAAGTACATGTACTTAAAAAATGTGAAGTTTTTATAAAATACAATATTGTAGATTAAACTACCCAACAGTATATAAAGCTGGTAAAATTACCTCCACTTCAACCAATTCAAGTATTGCCTAAATCTTTAAACATTTAAGCAATAATAATGATCCAGTAAAGTAATGATAATGAGAACTTTTACTTTAATACTGAAAGTATGTATTGTTGCTAATACATATGTGCTTTTACTAAGTAAAATTTTGAATGCGGTACTTTCACGTGTAATATTTTTACTGTGGGGTGTTGCTGTAAAGGATCTGAATACTTCTTCCTCCCTGTTTGTATATTTAATACTAGGTGTTTGGAGTTGTTTGTATTGTATATTAAGTATTCAGAAAAATTACATTATTATTACTGATGCATGCAAATATTAGAATAATGAAATGTACTTCAGAATTGTACAAAGTACTGTACTTGGTTAGATGTACTTAGTTCCTTTCCATCACTGTTGGCCACATTATACATTTTTACCAAGCCTCCGATCCACACTATTCTCTAATCAAAAACCGTTGGCAGATTACACAAATAAAGGTCAAGTTTGTCAAGTTGTAGACACAATAAAACGTGACACCACAAACACGGAATAGGAGCCGATTTGACCATAACTTCAACACTAGGTGGGGTCGTTTCATCATCTTCTAGCTCAACTACCAACGTCTAATTTAGGCCAAGTGCAGCATATGCAGTGTGGCTGAGTCACAAAGGAGATAAGATATACTATATAGTCGATTACAGCTGAATGAACCAATTGTTTAAAACAGTTTTCAATGAAAGGTGATGATATATATGCTGCACATTTTGAGCCAGCCACTTCTTAAAATGCAAAAATAAGACATCTGTTTATGTTTATGAATATGGGTGTGTGTGTGAATGCGTGCATGAGCTGTGTGGCAAGTTATTCATGTGTTTGCTCGGGTGCACCACACCCACTACCCATAATTGTTTACACAATGCAATGTAACCTAATCACCCCCTTACTTTGGAAACCCTGGAGTATTCCTTTTCATTCTCATTATTCCTGGGGGAAGGGGCTGTGTAGTATTATGTAAACTGTACTGAAAAATGCAGACGCTTGAACAATGTAACTATTTTAGGAGTAATATGTTTGTACAGTTCATTTAAATTATACATACAACCTTTCCCCCTTCCGAAAACATAAACAAGATAATCCCCTTCTTCACTGTCATCTTACATCTGCTGTTTTGACATGATTCACTATGACCTACTTCTTGCCTCCTTTCTCACTTTGCATATGGCCAAACCAACACTGTAAACACATTTGCTTACTCCTGTGTTGTCTTCCTTCTTGTCTCATCTTGTCAAAATCACGTGACAGCCTACAACTAGTACTGCTTTCCATATGACTATTCAAAATGTAAAAGCAGGAGGACATTCGGGAAGGCTGTTCTGATCTGCACCTCTATATTAGGACACCCAAATACAAAAAAAAAAACACTGCCCAGCATGTCACAACGCAACTGAGCTGTTCTTTTTAAAGGACGTACTCTACAACAGCAGTTCCGATCTTGTTTGCCTTAAAACAAAGCTATATTTGCCAAATCTGGTCACAGCTTGGCTGTCTGTGCTGTCAAATAGTGATTTCTATCTTCTCAGATTGTTTTCGTTGAACAATTTGAAAGGCCTGAAGATGAGAAAATTATATGAAAAATACAAATAGTTTTTTTTTCTGCCTTCCTTGCCTTACAGATACAGAACGTTTACTGGATGGAGGTGTCAGAGGTCAAAACCAACATATCCATTATAAGAACATCCCTGAACCTTCTCTTAAATTTTTTTTAAAGATATTTATTTTTCCGTCTTTATTGGACAGTTTATATAATACAGAGCGACAGGGGTACGACACGCAACATACGTCTCTTCCTGGAATTAAACAGGGAATGCGGCGGTTTTGTGGTATCCATCTTAGGCCCACAGGATGCTCCCTCTTTTAGCGTTTTCTGGAAGTTTCTCAAGGACACACATAGCCATAATAATCTACCGCATTTACCACTACATTCAAACCAGATATTCAGCACATTACATTCGACCTTTATTTTTACAACTAACAACAGCAACTAACAAAATATCTTACATAATCTACACATACTAACACAGTATTTTACACAAACATCTGTCAAGAATGACCATTAGATCCTTTTATTTTATCAATTATCAATTTATATATTATAAATTATAAATAATAGAATATTATTTAAGGAGAAGGCTCATTAAATTGCTGAAATCCTCAGAGATGTTGTCAACAACTTCTACTCTGATTGTGATCTCACAGCAGTGACAGCTCCTCACACAGTTTTCAATTTTTGTTGGCCTTCTTGTCCTTGCCAAACAGCTGATCATTTATCTCTTGCCAATAATGAAACATTCTAAATTTTACGACTAACCATATTTAATGTTGTACATTCTTTGAATCAAACCAGGGAATAGTTCAGCAAAACAATGTATGTGAAAATAAACATAGGTTAAAAGTTGACCCTGCAAGGATGGTTTGGCATATTGAATACATTTGGTACAGTTCACATTTGTGGGGGGAATCTGGAAATAAAATCTGAGCACAAGCTTGTCTTTTATAAATTTATTGTTCCATCCTCAGCTAGCACAAAATCTGCTGCCAGCTGGTGAAGAGTGTCTTTTCTACCAAGTTTTTACATCCAGCCAGTCACACACAAAGAAACATCTGTGCTAAGATATAAGAACCTAAAGCACAGCTAAAGAAGTCACTTCATTGTTAGGGCTGAAGGTTCAGATATGAATAGCATGGCATACTGATGTGACCATCTCATAAGACTATAGAACACAGGACTCGCAAAGCCATAGTTACAATATGACCATTCAAAGTAGCAACGTCATATGAGCATCAGTTCGCAAAGCCACAGTCACAAGATGAGGTCAAGGCAGTTTTTCATTGACACTGATAATCTAAGAACATATCAAGCTATTAGTATATGTTCTGTTTTTCAATCACACTTGTTTCGGCAAACTCCCTTCGTCATGTCATGTGTTCCACTGCACCATACAAACCGACTCGGCCTTGCAGCTGGTGTGATATCATCGGAAGATGGTCTCTAGTTTAAGTTGAAGTTAATGAGTACAGATTACTGTTATAGTCTGTGAACACAAACCTGTGTGTAGGCTTGCATATATGTTACACTGTATGTGTTCATGAAATGTGAACTATTACAGTATTTTAAATAGTTTCAAAACCAATCTTCTCTACAATAAGGTCTATGGTCAAGCTTTGATCTGTTTTATTCTCTAAAATTTATGTTCAAAAGCTCAAAAGCATTTGAACTTATCATATTATAAGTTTGTGACACAACGTGTTTGCAGTGTTCACAGTAAAGACCTTTCTTCAGAATACTTGAGAAGATATGTTCATTGTGCGCTGGAGAAGAGTAACTTGACTGAGAAGATGTGTAATATGTTAGCACAAAGTATTACATTTTGTGACATTATTGTACATGTACATTCTTATATAATGACTAGACTGTCTCTTGTGTAACATTTTAGTCAGTGTTGTGTGTTATCATGGCCTGATTGGGCTGTGTTACGACTGTAGCTCTGTATCGCACACACAAGTAAAAGTTTAATAAACAGTAATCTGATAAACATAATATTGTCCTATCAGTTTTCAAAATTAATATCACTCTGGGTTATTAAAACCTAATGTTAATAAAACAAAATATGACAATTCCCACAATGATGATGGTATCTGAAATGAGATTGTGGGTGAGTCATCCCTGGCAAGCTGTAAACTTGAATCAATCAAAGAACTTGATGTGGGATACAAACCATTAGTTATGAGAACATCCTCCTGTGGCCTCAAATGGTTGGTTCCAGTGAAGTGGTTTAAATGTGAAATTCCCATTTTCTATTTACAGATCACAATGGCTTTATTTTTTATTTTTTGATTATATTGAACTGTGTGTGTCTGCTAACTTCAAATCCTGCCCAAATACTGTATTGGCTGATGAAAAAATATATTCCTCCTATATAATATTCACTCCTGGATGCATACAGAAGGTATTTTCACAGTAGACAACAACAAGAATTTCAACTCGCTTGTTCTGCAACTGTCTTTTGCTGGAATAAAGTGAAAGAGAATGGAAGGAGAAGTGAATCTTACTTTAAATTCTTCTAGAAAGGGGAACTACATATGACTATTTTTCAACATTTCG